TGCAGACTAGTTGTATATTTTTGATTTGTCACAGCTCTAGTTTGTACTACATGGTTAACTAGGTTTGTAAATATTTTAAATTTCAATGAAAATTGTATAACTCTGTTACAGTATAATTGCCTTATATTTAACATTCCGCTTTCCGAAAATATCAGTTTTGTGGGATATGTTTTTGATTTAAATAACATAATCTTTAAAATGTATTTTTGAGCAATATTTAAAGGTAGCAAGACTGACTCACAAGCTGATCCCCACGAGAGAATACCAAAATTCAAAATTGATTCTGCTAATGCTAAGTATACCATTTTTGTTAGTTCCAAAGATAGTATATTTCTAAGCTGCGCAAACTTATATACCAATTTCCTAACCTTTTTACTTATGTAGTCTATATGCACATCCCATTTCATAAACCTATCAAAATATACTCCAAGGTACTTAATAGAATTACATGATTCAATTTTTAGGTTACATTGGCATGATACAGATAAGTCGCAGTCAGAATTATGTAGGTTTAGAAAATATCTATAGGGCACATTACGCTTGTCTATAGAAAACGGAATAAATTTAGTTTTATCTATATTCAATGTCAACTGGTTCGAATCTAACCAATGTTTTATTTTGTGAAGATCCAATTCCGCTTTTCTATAAGCCTCGTCCCATGAGCTACCAGAAATTAATATAGCAGTGTCGTCTGCAAAACAAACGATTTTACCCGAAAATTTCAAAGACAGTAGGCTATTTACGTATATTGAAAACAGAATTGGACCCAGCACAGTACCTTGAGGCACACCAATAGCAACTTCCTGAGGATCACTGTATACGTCATTTATTTTAACTTTCTGAACTCTGCCTTCTAGATATGATTTAAACAGGTTGTACACTAAACCTCTTATGCCAATGCTTTCGAGGCGCTTTAAAAGAACTGGGTGCGCAACCGTGTCAAAGGCTTTCCTAAGGTCTAAAAAGACAACGATTGGCTTACAACCTTTATTTATAGTTTTTGTAATAAACTGATTAACCTCGTGTAATGCATTGTGCGTCCCAACTCCTGGTTTAAACCCAAACTGATACGGAGAAATGGTATCATTTTCTTTTAAAAAATTCCATAGTTTTTCTTTAATACATTTTTCCACAATTTTGCTAAATACACTGCACAGGGCTATTGGCCTATAGTTGTTTTTATTAGTCTTGTCGCCTGATTTATGAATAGGTATAATTATGGATTTTTTAAATATTTTTGGATAACAACCTGCACTGAATATGAAATTAATGAGATGTAGCAAAGGTTTGGTGAGGTAAGCATGATAGTTTTTTATTATTTTAGAAGTAATACCATCATCTCCGCAAGAATTTGTATTATTTAACGAGCTTATGACATTTATTAGTTCTGAGTAGTACAGCAACAGGGGTTCTAGCATCAAATTCCGACCATAACCTCAATCTTTCATTCTTGACACGTGGTGGATGCGCCGTCGTTGACACGAAGGTGGATGCACCGCCATGGCGCCATCTTGTCGACAGATGGCGCCATGGGACCTGCACCCGTAGGGCTCCGCCCCCCAAAAAGGGGCCCCCGGATTTTAATATGGGTACCAGAAAAAGGGGTGTGGGGGGGGAAATGTTTTCCCGCCATCATGTCAACCGTCACCTGTCAAACGTCACCTGTCAAACGTCATCTGTCAAACGTCATGATGTCATAGCGGGAGTTTTGAGTCGTTCCGGGCTCTGTGATGACGTCATAGCGACCTGGGTCACGTCCGTGGAGTCATTTAGAGTACATAGTGCAAAGTTTGATTCATGGTTCGGGTTCTGTGATGACGTCATAGCGACCTGGGTCGCGTCCGTGGAGTCATTTAGAGTACATAGTGCAAAGTTTGATTCAGGGTTCAGGTTCTGTGATGACGTCATAGCGACCTGGGTCACGTTCGTGGCGCCATTTGGAGTACATAGTGCGAAGTTCGTTTCATGGTTCTGTGATGACGTCATAGCGACCTGGGTCACGTGGGTTACGTCAGTGCGGGTCCGTGGCGCCATTTAGAGTACATAGTGCAAAGTTCGATTCATGGTTCGGGTTCTGTGATGACGTCATAGCGACCTGGGTCACGTCCGTGGCGCCATTTAGAGTACATGTGTCAAGTTTGATGTGTCTTATAACAGGATGCTGTGGTGGTGACGTAACTATGAGGGTCCAGCAGCTAGCTTCATGTTGTACCTGGTAGAGGGTGTTCGAACTTAAGGATGATACACACCTACAGTATTGCTCATTGACCTCGTGTGTTACCATTTACGACGCCATAACTAAGTCATCAGCTGTTTAAACAACCTACGTCAAGGCGAGAAATAACATGCTGCTTACGTCACAACTGGTGATTTAACGTTGGGGAGAGAGTGGATTTGTTCCACACAGGCCTTAGGAGGATAGGCTATCCTGTAGTAGTAGTGTGTATTATCCTTGGTTGGAACCAACGTTTGATGGGAAAGGGGCCTCGTTTTTTTATTAAAAACATACATTTTTTAAGACAACGATTTCAAAAAGCGAATATTTTCCATCAATAAACTGCTTAATATGATCCAATCATTTTGGTGGTACGTCTTGGGAGCAACACTTGCGATAGCTCGCCGAGCTTGGGTCGAGTTCCAGAAGAAAATCAAAGACTGTGTCGACTTTTTAACTAATTTAATATTCTCCGGTACATAAAAAAAAGTTGAATCTACGTAAATAAATCGGGCGGGCGATAGCAACTGAGCAGCGCACCTTCCTCTTCGTTCACCCTTGCCCGACTGACCTCGGCTGTTGCGCCGTTCCTTTGGATACCTATACCGCCTGGCTTGATGCCCTGTTGCCAACACCACCACCATATACGTATTGTTTTTCCACGATACAAAAGTAAATTATAAAAGGTTCTAATAATACGTGGAACCACCACATGACCCCCCAATTCAATCTAATGACCTACGTCAATGGATTTAATTTAACATAATGATAAATTCTTCTCGACATCCTTAATCTGATAACAACAGAGCTCAGTGTCAAAACAAACAAAAAGAAACTAAAAATGAGTACATCCCAAGAAAAATAATAATATTAATAATAAACGAATATATACCTTAAAATATGGCAACACTATGCAATTTGTGGGGGTCTTTTATATGACTTAAGATTAATAACATTTTGTTTAGAAACCTCGATGCCATCAGAATCCCTAAGAACATAAGAATTTGGTCCGGCCTGCCTCGCGACATAAAAAGGGCCAGCATAAAGTAGGAAAAACTTTTTGATAGTACGGTCATCAGCAGACGATTGAGTGTGGCACCTAACCAAGACCTCATCACCTTCCCTAAAAATAGTCGGATTCACCCCAGAATTGTGTTTTATCGCTCGCCGTTCCGCTCGGGATCGGAGCCTATCTCGCGCCAATAAAATTATCTTTTCCCCCCCAATATCTGATTTTTGCGTATCCGGTGGAAACTTTATAAAGGTCTCAATCGGTTGACACGCTTTTTTCCCGAATTGCAAATGTTTATCCCACTCGCACAATTGTTCTGTAAACCATCAGCATTTTCACTAGAACCCTCATAAAAATCATCCGACCACCGCTTATTTTTATTACGTTTCGGCGGCATTTCAATTACAAATTGCAAAACAGATATTATCTACCAAGATGCTGTATTTTTTTTTTTTTCACAATAAAAAAAAAATTATTCGTTAACTTGTCTTTGAGCTACCTACTCACTTCACTTGAATAAGTAAAACAAAAGGTCTTTTTTTTTTTTCTTCCTTCCAGCTGAACGCTGCAGCGATGGCAACACCGCAATCGGACAAATTCTGGTAGGTCGCCCCGCAGCAAGCAAAATAACAACAATGCAACGATCTTACCTTTGGGCTTTGATCATTATGTGCTTGAACCTTGAACTGCTACTGTACTATAGGAACAATTAATTATTCCTATTCAATTCCAAAACCAGCTCCAAATCACACACGTCTCAGTCTTCCGGCCGCAAGTTGAGCGCCAATGCGATAGCTCGCCGAGCTTGGGTCGAGTTCCAGAAGAAAATCAAAGACTGTGTCGACTTTTTAACTAATTTAATATTCTCCGGTACATAAAAAAAAGTTGAATCTACGTAAATAAATCGGGCGGGCGATAGCAACTGAGCAGCGCACCTTCCTCTTCGTTCACCCTTGCCCGACTGACCTCGGCTGTTGCGCCGTTCCTTTGGATACCTATACCGCCTGGCTTGATGCCCTGTTGCCAACACCACCACCATATACGTATTGTTTTTCCACGATACAAAAGTAAATTATAAAAGGTTCTAATAATACGTGGAACCACCACACACTGCGTTATCGTCAAATTCGACGAGTATTTCAAATCCATAGCTAAAAATATGCCACAATTGTATCGATTACCTAAGTATATAAGATATTTACTTACTAGGTTAAAATAATAATTTCTGTACAATAGTTTTATGATCTACCTTAATTTGTATAGTTTATTGGTTCCAGTAAAGATTTGCAATTATTTTGAGGTCTCTATCGTAGAAAATATTGGGAACTTTCACTTTATACCAGATCTTATAATTTTCTCAGTGTTTTTGATCCTTTGTTATAAAAAGACAGGTCTTGTTGATTGATTTCAAAATATCTAAAATATTCCATAATTGTATCGATATCAGTAGGTATATAATATATTCACTTACTTGGTTAAAATGATAATTGTTGTGCAATAATTTTATTGTTGTTGACGAGTCTCAAACAAGACTGAAAGAGCTTAATTATTATAAAAACCAATTCAAACTTCGAATTAACAACATAACATACAGTATATACTAATATCAATCAACAACAAGACCTGTCTTTTCCTAGCAAAGGATTGAAAACACTGAGAAAATTACAAGACCTGAAGCCTCATAGAAAGTGAAATTTCCAATATTTTGACAGCGTTTTTTGTATGTTATGTTGTTAATTCGAAGTTTGAATTGGATTTTATCGATACAATTATGGAATATTTTAGATATGGATTTGAAATCAATCAACAAGACCTGTCTTTTTATAACAAAGGATCAAAAACACTGAGAAAATTATAAGATCTGGTATAAAGTGAAAGTTCCCAATATTTTCTACGATAGAGACCTCAAAATAATTGCAAATCTTTACTGGAACCAATAAACTATACAAATTAAGGTAGATCATAAAACTATTGTACAGAAATTATTATTTTAACCTAGTAAGTAAATATCTTATATACTTAGGTAATCGATACAATTGTGGCATATTTTTAGCTATGGATTTGAAATACTCGTCGAATTTGACGATAACGCAGTGTTGCTCCCAAGACGTACCACCAAAATGATTGGATCATATTAAGCAGTTTATTGATGGAAAATATTCGCTTTTTGAAATCGTTGTCTTAAAAAATGTATGTTTTTAATAAAAAAACGAGGCCCCTTTCCCATCAAACGTTGGTTCCAACCAAGGATAATACACACTACTACTACAGGATAGCCTATCCTCCCAAGGCCTGTGTGGAACAAATCCACTCTCTCCCCAACGTTAAATCACCAGTTGTGACGTAAGCAGCATGTTATTTCTCGCCTTGACGTAGGTTGTTTAAACAGCTGGTGACTTAGTTATGGCGTCGTAAATGGTAACACACGAGGTCAATGAGCAATACTGTAGGTGTGTATCATCCTTAAGTTCGAACACCCTCTACCAGGTACAACATGAAGCTAGCTGCTGGACCCTCATAGTTACGTCACCACCACAGCATCCTGTTATAAGACACATCAAACTTGACACATGTACTCTAAATGGCGCCACGGACGTGACCCAGGTCGCTATGACGTCATCACAGAACCCGAACCATGAATCGAACTTTGCACTATGTACTCTAAATGGCGCCACGGACCCGCACTGACGTAACCCACGTGACCCAGGTCGCTATGACGTCATCACAGAACCATGAAACGAACTTCGCACTATGTACTCTAAATGGCGCCACGAACGTGACCCAGGTCGCTATGACGTCATCACAGAACCTGAACCCTGAATCAAACTTTGCACTATGTACTCTAAATGACTCCACGGACGTGACCCAGGTCGCTATGACGTCATCACAGAACCCGAACCAGGAATCAAACTTTGCACTATGTACTCTAAATGACTCCACGGACGTGACCCAGGTCGCTATGACGTCATCACAGAACCCGGAACGACTCAAAACTCCCGCTATGACGTCATGACGTTTGACAGATGACGTTTGACAGGTGACGTTTGACAGATGACGTTTGACAGGTGACGGTTGACATGATGGCGGGAAAACATTTCCCCTCACCCCTTTTTCTGGTACCCATATTAAAATCCGGGGGCCCCTTTTTGGGGGGCGGAGCCCTACGGGTGCAGGTCCCATGGCGCCATCTGTCGACAAGATGGCGCCATGGCGGTGCATCCACCTTCATGTCAACGACGGCGCATCCACCACGTGTCAAGAATGAAAGATTGAGGTTATGGTCGGATTTTTATAGTCATACCCCTGTTGCTGTACTACTGTTCTGATTCACTAACTGGTCTCAAAAACATAGAATGATGACAAATAGTCTCATATTTTTGTTCGGTTGGTATAATTTGTTCTGCAAGTTTTGCGCCAATAGAGCTGAAAAAGAAGTTAAATTCATTGGCAATCTCTCCAGCGGCAGAGACATCCTGGCCACTGTCGTTTTTAATGCACTTAACACTAGATAAATCACGGTACTCATTAGAGGCTTCCTGAATAGTATCCCATATTTTTTTAGGATTTTTATAATTTTCATGAATTTTTGTACGATAATAATTAAATTTTACATTTTTGATGATTTTGGACAGCCTATCTCTATACTCGGTATAGATTCCAATGGTGTTACGATTATTATTTGATCTTGCTACAGCTCTTTTTAGTTGGTTTCTATGACGTATACAGCTAACCAGCCCAGGAGTTATCCATGGCTTTAAACATCGGTTTTTATTGCTAATTTGTACTTTTTCCGTGCTTTGACTTACTAGAGATTTTAGTTTATTAATCAGTTTTTCAGCAATGACATCTGGATGACTTTCGTTTAGAAGATCATACCACGTTTCGTCCTTAAAGAAATTTAGCAGCCGCTGTTTATTTAATTTATCAAAGGTTTTTGTCGGTTTCGATTCATCCCTTGTAGCATTTACTTTTATACTTAAAATAATCGGCAAGTGATCTGTTATATCGCTATCTAGAACTGCGGCATTGCAATCATAAAGGCCCTTAACAAAAAAATGGTCTAGACAAGATTTATTTCTAGTAGGGACGTTAATAAACGGGAAATATCCTAGACTTGATAAACTATTTAAGAAATTTGCCACATTCTCCTTGCTTTTATCTAATATATTTATATTGGTATCGCCAGAAAAAATTTCGGTGGCGCATGGCATAAAGTATCTTTGGGTAAGCAACTGCACGAGAATGTCAGGATACATTTTTTCGTCTAGACAAGGAAGTCTATAGTGTGCTAAAATACCAATTTTATAATTGTTTTTACAAGCCTCTATTCTCAAAAATTTGTAGTTATTTATACATATTGTTTTATTTTGTAGTACAAGATTGCTTTTGACATAAATGATAGTACCATCACACCAATTAATAGTACTGTTATTATAAAAAACAGAGTATGACTTTATATTAAAATCATCAACATTTTCGATTTCGTGTGATTCTGACATTATAATGATATCAAAATCAACATCTAAAGAGCTAAGTAATAGTAGAAAATTATCGAAATTAGTTTTAATACCCCTGATATTAACGTGTATTATATTAAAATTATTATCGCCGGTCATTATTACTTCTTGAACATCACTTATAGTCGTACACATTTTATTTTGACATGAACGGTAAAAGTCTAATAAAGTATTATGATCCATTTCAAAAGATGTATATAAATATATTAAAAAAAAAAAAAAAATATTGGATTAGCAAGTCTCGCATGAATCAAGGATCTCCTGTAGATGAATCGAGTTGATTACTTTTATAACCTTGTCGCCGTCATGTTTGCGTAGTAAAACCGATCCATTTTGATGCCAGACATACTTAAAACCTTTTTCTTTGCATTTCTTGGCCTCTTTGAGTAGTTTATATACTATATCAGGTAGGTGTTCATTTATGTAAATCGGTGTTTTTAGGTCATTAATATTGCAGACTTGGGTATCTAATTTTCCAATTTCGCGACGTTTCGATAAAATGTTTTTGACCATCCCCGGGTTACTTAGTGAAACAGACAACATCGGAGGTTTGTTTTTGATTGGTGTAGATTTTATATGAATAATATTATTTGAAACTACAGAGTTATCAACAAATTTAAGCACTCTCAGCGACTTTTTACGCATAATCTCCTCGGTGTCATCTATTTCAAATGCTCCGTAAATATTAAGATTCGCACTTACTTTGTCTGCTTCCAACTCGATCAACTTGGACTGCACTAAAGAAAGCTCGTTACGAAGTTTCTTGTTATCTTTTTTCACTTCGTCGATCATTTCCCCCATAACTTTATTTAACTGTCGCTGCTCTTCATATAAACCATTAAAAAAGTCAAGAGAAGATTTCACCTCGACCATATCATTACGCATTTCTGTGACCTCCGTTTTCAGTTCTGCAAGTAATGAGTGAATTGATTCCAAATCTTTCCCTTCGTGAATGTTTATTGAGCTTCTACCCCTATTGGTGAGAGAATCCCGATTGTGCATAGTAACATTGTTTAAATCACTAATTGTAAGTCTTTTACATTTTCTACAGGACCATGGTTTTTTCTGCTCACCTAGTAATCTTTCCTCTATCTCATTAATGAAAGTACATTGAACCGAATGGTACCACTTTTTACATTCTATGCACTGGAGGTTGGGACGTTGTTTTGCAACCCTTGAGTTGCATTCCCCACAGTTAACCGTATTTCGAGTCATTATAAATAGTATATAATAGTAGTTAGCAGATGTCATTATATCAATAAAAATACAACGGTTCAGTTATTTTATAACTGTCTATACCTAAACATAAAATCGGGCCTTAAAGAATTATGTTCTTGCCTCTCTCAAGTCATTCATTTGGCTCTGTAATGAAAGAGCGCTGCACAAAAGAGCGCTATAACAAAAGAGCGCTGCACAAAAGAGCGCTGTAACAAAAGAGCGCTGTAACAAAAGAGCGCTGCAACAAAAGAAAGCTGCACAAAAGAGCGCTGTAACAGAAGACCGCTGTAATCAAACAAAAATTCGCCAAAACGTGAAAAACCCTTTTGTAGATATAACATCTTGAAATTTAAATTATTTTTTTTTCTTGGATTGCTCGCTCCGCTCGCCAAATCCCAAAGAGAAGATTCTCGGAAACGTGAATCCCCCCAAAAAGTAAAAGTAAAAACCATTTTTTACATGTTAGCAACTTTTTGAAATTTGAAATATGTTTAAGTTTAGGATTTCATCAAATAGCTCCAACAGAAAATAAATACAAAATAACCCAATCTAGCCCGTCCTCGGAATGCGACCTAATCTCTGTTTCTGAACTTCATCAAATTTCTCAAACAGAAAATGAATACAAAATAAACCAAACTGACCCGTCCTCAGAATGCGACCCAATCCTTTGTTACTTAATTCACCTTTTTGAAGTTCAGACAGTACTCTTTTGTTACAGCGCTCTTTTGTGCAGCGCTATTTTCTTATAACGCTGTTTTATTACAGCGCCCTTTTGTTACAGCGCTCTTTTGTGCAGCGCTCTTTTGTTACAGCGCTCTTTTGTTCAGCGCTATTTTGTTACAGCGCTATTTTGTTACAGCGCTGTTTTGTTACAGCGCTGTTTTGTTACAGCGCTGTTATGTTACAGCGCTCTTTTGTGCAGCGCTCTTTCGTTCCAGAGCCATTCATTTTACTATTCTTGTGTTAAGCTTTGTATATAAAAAAGTTTCAGAACCGAACCTGACACAATTTGTTAACCATGTGAAACCAAACTTCATTTAACTACGGTGTTCTTAGGAAATCCAAAAATTCTGAATTAAAAGTGGGAATTCCGAGATAAAAGTCAGAATTCCGAGAAAAAAGTCGGAATTCCGAATTAAAAGTCGGAATTCCGACTTAAAAGTCAAAATTCCGAGATAAAAGTCGGAACTCCGAGATAAAAGTCGGAAAGAGTTAAAAATAAAAAATTAGGGATAAATGGCCCTTCTACGCTTCCGTAAAAAGTCATGCTAAAAAGAGGAAAACTATTTCCTACTGTCCTCTAATTTAACCTTCCATTAGGCGCGCGAGTTTTTATAACTTCATTAGTCGCGCTGTATCACAGAGATACACGTCTAAATAATTGATAAAAAAATTGAACCATCTGATGAATTTCGGTTTTACAATTTCTATATATTTATTCGTGTACTCAACAATCACTTTTTACTGAAAAAGAGATTCCAGAAGTTGGATTCTGTTTTCGCAGTCATTGCAGTTTGGCCAACAACGCCCGGCAGCTTCACCATAATATTATGTGGTCTCTTCCGAGTCAACTTAGGAGGAATTTTGTCTCATCGAGTTCCATCTTCACCTGAGATGAACAGCCTCTTGTACCATATTATTTATATAAAAAAAATACCAAGAAAACAGTTAGAATTGAGGAGTACCGATGGTAACAAGAAAAGTCGCGTTGTACCAGACAGGTACAAACCCGAGCGCACCCCTAGTTTTTTGGAAATTCCAAAATTCCAAGTACAGGTACGAACATGTAATTTTGGGAAAGTAATTAGTATAGGGTACCTGAGGACTACTACAAGCCATAATATTATAGGGTTTTTCCTTTTTGATTTATTTGCAAAAACAATAGGCATGTATCTCCCAGATACACGCGCGACTAATGGAAGGTTAAAAGTGAGACAATTATATTTGAAAAACATTATTAGGTTTGCACATAAAACAAATTTATTCCCATCTTCTGTTAATCAAGATATTAAAACCAGAGCAATATCGAACTTAAATGTACCTTACGAAACACAAAACTTTTCCATAACCTAGAGATCTATTAAATATATCTGCCCCAAAGTACTAAATATTTTGCCCCTTAAATTTAGACAAAAACAATCAAGAGAATTTAAATATTGGAGTAGGGAGTTAGGTGAGTGGCTAAGAACAAACTATGAAAGAATAGAGAAAATATTAGTTTTCCTGTTGTAATAATAATAATAATATTTTAAAAAAAACCTGTGTACTTCTGATGAAAGAAAAGAAAAAAAAACTTCAAAATAGCTTTGTGCTTATATACTAACTGAAAATTAGATAATGTTATGTTTAAAATTATACAGTGCCCGCGGAAAAGTCTGCACCATATGGGAAATTTTTTTATGCTCATCCTTACTTCAAATCGGTTTCCGGCATTAGGTTCTGCATGACTGAAAACCAAAAAAATACCTAAAATTTTTGACTCGAGTCTTGCCTCAAATGCCATTTGAAAATTTCAAACAAGGAAAAGTGGCATTTTTATAAAAAATATGGAAAAATTTTATAAGAAAATATTGTTCCAAATGACATTTAGGAGTAGTTTATAAACAAACAATTTGAAATTTCAATTTGAGAAATCTAAAATTTTCAAAATAGTCCAGAGGCGTATCAAAATTTTAATAGAAATATTTCTTTTTGATGTTTAAACTCCTAATTAGATTATTAAGATTTAAAAAACCATTAGTCGGATACAAACTAATTATTTTAGAGGAATGGTCGCGAAAGAAATCCTAAAAATATTATTTTTCCGTAGATATTCGATTTTTTTTTTTTTTAAATCTTTTTTTTTCAAAGTAAAAATATCAAATTAGACTAAAAATGTCATTTGGAACAATATTTTCTTATAAATTTTTTCCATATTTTTTATAAAAATGCCACTTTTCCTTGTTTGAAATTTTCAAATGGCATTTGACAGGTGTGAAGTAAGTCTCGAGTCAAAAATTTTAGGTGTTTTTTTGGTTTTCAGTCATGCAGAACCTAATACCGAAAACTGATTTGAAGTAAGGATGAGCATAAAAAAATTTCCCATATGGTGCAGACTTTTCCGCGGGCACTGTATAGATTTATATGTACACACAGAAACCGAAAGGTTAATCGTGTACAAAAGGAACTGTTAATTATGTATTCGATTTCTTTGGAATAAATGATTTGATTTGATTTGATCAAAACAATAGGGCAGAAACCTAGTAGTAAAACCCAATATAAACATATTGTCAAGCCAAAGAATAACACCCATTATAATATGTATTAATTATATTATAATTCGAAAGTTCATTGACATGTCGTATTGTTCTAATTTAGTTTCCTGTACAACAGGATAAACGATTATTACCAATATTGGGCAATACTGGCATTGCAATGAATTATTAGACGGATCAGCATATCAGCAAAAACTTGATGCAACGACCCAAGTTTGAGAAATCAATAATTTCTTGCTGACAAAAGGAAATCGACTTGGATCAATAATTCGGTTTTCCTAGTCAGTTGGGTTTTTAAAGCTGAAGCAAATAACAAAGCTTGAGCCGGGTTATCGGGCGCGAAAAAGTTAAAGTTGTAACGGTACAGAAAGATGGATTTCCAGCGGTAAGTCAAGTTTAATTTGTAAACTCATCATTCTAAATTTATAAAATTATTCATGTTACTTTCCCCTATTTCATTATTGTACATTTTATTTTGTAAGTAATAAACAGGCATTTTTATTTTACATTTGGTTTTCATTTTGGACTGGATCCCGGGTCCCCAGTCACGACAAAACAGGTTGTGACATTGTGGTGGAGGCGCCGTATCTATTACTTACAATTTAATCATTTTTTTGGAATAAATTTAAAATGATGAGAGTACCTACATTTTTATTAAAAACATTTTGCTTTTTCTGATATTAATTTCCGTATTTTTTTTTTCTATATATATATATATATATATTAGTAGTTTTTTCTTGGGTTTAGGTTCATAAATGAAACGACTTTTTTATTTCCTAACGTTTCGCCTTTAATTTAAGGCATTTTCAAAGGGATTGTTTTCCTAAAAAAATAAATAATAATTTCACATTAACTTATTCACTAATTATGCAATAATACAAGAATTTTCCTAAAAATGTTTAATACAGTGTACATACCTCGAAAATGTTATTTCTTATTACCAGGTACCATTTTATGTTGTTGGTTTCAAGGTACTAGGTGTTTTGATATGCGACAATAAAGGAACCATGGTATGTATGTTTTTTTTTTTTATTAAAATTTTTATTATATTTAAATTGATCTATTATTATGTGTTCACACTAGATTGAATTTTGCGTCATTTGGGTTGGTTGATGATCTCAACCCAAATGACGCAAAATTCAATCTAGTGTGAACACATATTAATAGATCAATTTAAATATAATAAAAATTTTAATAAAAAAAAAAAAAACATACATACCATGGTTCCTTTATTGTCGCATATCAAAACACCTAGTACCTTGAAACCAACAACATAAAATGGTACCTGGTAATAAGAAATAACATTTTCGAGGTATGTACACTGTATTAAACATTTTTAGGAAAATTCTTGTATTATTGCATAATTAGTGAATAAGTTAATGTGAAATTATTATTTATTTTTTTAGGAAAACAATCCCTTTGAAAATGCCTTAAATTAAAGGCGAAACGTTAGGAAATAAAAAAGTCGTTTCATTTATGAACCTAAACCCAAGAAAAAACTACTAATATATTACCTACGGTTCAAGAAAA